AGAAAGATGACGGGGCATTTCCCCTCAGGGACTGACTATCATCAACTGTCTCTTAGTCCACGCTTCCCCCAAGAGTGGTGAGTGTGTGCTGGCCCCTCCTTTGCTTTTTCTCATGATACATAGTGACCCTTTATGGAGCCTGACTTTATGGTTTAGCAGAGCTGCTTCTATCTGTCACTGTGTTGTCAAAATATCATGCATGATTCTTATGTTTCCACAGCATGAGAAATGCTGTGCTCAAATCCCTATCACTTAACATACTACGAGAGCAACCCTGACCCTTCATCAAGCCCTGCTTTTCATTGCTCTTTCTGTGCCCTCCCTTCTAAGCAAGAATCCAGTGTCTGACTGTCAGTCTTAAGAGCTGGGATTTGCAGGTCACAAGCTAGTTCCTCAGAAGCTGGGTGGTCTCTAGGCAACCCTGACATCACCCCTGGATACTATCCCCCAAGGGAGACATGTGACTGGTGAGCCTTTCTAGCATGCACCTTGTGTTCTTAACTGGAAGAGCCACTGAGCTCTGGAAGGCGGCCTCTTAGCATGTGTGGTTGTGCATTATGCGTCATGTCCCTTTGATAGGGCTACCCAGCAGGTACAGCGAGAAGCATACTCAGGAGAGGCCACTCTTGGTTTTACCATTGCCTGGGGAACTGGCTCCTAATCTTCTGCCAACCCCATGCTCCCCATTTCAGGACCTCAGCATCTCATGCCCCAAACAGCCAAGGGGCAGAGAAGGAACCATAACGTGCCCATTACTACCCGGCAGGTGTTTAGTATCTTCTAGGGACAGGAAGGCTCCTTCCTCATTTTGTGTTTAATGTACCAAGTACCACCATAACCCCATAACCTAGGAGAGTGCGCCATGTCGTTTTAGGACATAGAAAAATGTGTCCAGGAACACCTGCTCCTACCAGCACAGGTGTGGGGGAGGAGAAAGCACACTAAAATGCAAACTGTTCTGTGCCCTGGGGCGGTGCTCTGTACTCTCCGTAGAGACTTTATAGAGCGAGCTCATATGCTCTCATGAATGCTGCATGTGGTGTATACCACGCCAGTGTACTGGTGAGAAAACACTCAGTGCACTTCACTGTCAGAGAACAGAAGGCACATAAGCCTGGCTAATGGCCTTCCCGGTCTTGCCTCTGGCCTGGGTCTGACAAAGCACCAGACTTAACAAGTTTCCTTCAAAAAAGCCAAAAGTCCCGGCTTTTGGAAGTCAGAAAGCAAAGGCTGCTTCATGAGGCTGACACCCCCATGTGCCAGGATTGATCTGTGAATCCTTGTCTCTGCAATATTTCTGAGGAGATATGAGGAGGGGCCTCTTCTGTTCTCTGTATGGATTGGCTGGAAAGGGCCCTTTTGGGCAACTGCCAAATAGAAATCCCAGACACTGAGTCGAGGAATCAGCAAAATTGTATAATCTTGATCTTAGTTATGGTAGCAACAATGACATAGTAGTATTCTTAATGCCCCAAACCCACTGCTACTACCCTCATACTTTAATGGTATCTGGAGTCTGAAAAGACCAGGGGTCAGAGGAGTCTGAAAAATTGGGTGTAGGCCGGGGGACTGCAATCTGTTTTAAAGGCCTTGGGCCTTTGTTGAGGCTGACCTATGTATGGTAGGATCCCTGATTTCCACCCTCTATATGCCAAAGCATCCATCCCCTAGCCATGAGAAATGATGAAGTATGCAGACACTGTCAGATATACCCCAGGGAAGCAAAATCTATTTCTAGTTAACTCCAGTGGACAGTCTAACCCTGTAGGGCTGGTCCATATGTCTTGCAACCAAGGATCAGTTTTTCTCCTCTCCTCCAGGAAATATAAATTCTTCCTATACTGTGTCCCAGAGCTGATGATACCTGGTTTAGGAAGTGGGTGGAAGGGAAGGGGACAGAAGAAGCAGGTTAACTAGAAGAAGCAAGTAGAGACAATAGGAAAGCTTTTAGAAATAAGAAAGGTTTATTTAGCAAAAGCCACTAACTAGTGACAACATCCAGGGAGTAAGTGCACTTACATTAGCAGATCATTTCCCAGAGAGCTGATCCAACAGTTAATGACACAACCATTATAGGAAGCAGAGGTCTAGCGGGAGGGAGGGAGAGAGGGAGGGTTTGGGAAAGCAGTCAAGCAGAGTATAAAGGAATACAACTCATAAACAAGGTCGGCTGAGAGGAGCGAGGCTCAGAAAGGTTTTTACAGACAGCATCAATATAAGCAGGAATAGAAAGGAATATATATTTCAGTTCCCATATGCAGTCCATCCTGTGCAGAGAAATCCTGTCCTGCCTCTGCAGCTGCGAAGCCTTGTATGCCCAAGAGCTTTCTGGCACCTGGGGTAGGCTTCAATAAGGAAGCCCTGGTGTCCGTGTGTCCTCCACACAGGGCAGAGTAGAAGGAAGGAGAAAGGCAGAGTTGAGTTAGCAGAGCAAGAAGCAGGGAAGGCGGAGGATGCTGCTGGCAGGTCAGGTCTGCAACGTTCCCTGTCCTGTCCATTGGCCTACATGGAGGGCTGGTGGCCCCATAAGACCGCCAGATCTGTTCTTTAGGTGTCCCAGTGCCATATACCAAACGTGTACAGGTTTGGGTCTGAATTAATTCTCCAGTGAAGGCCGCAATCAGGGAAAGGGGAGGGTCAAAGAAGGCAGAAATCAAGGGCAAAAGTCTTACATGAGTCCCAAGTCATCGCCCATCCATTAACCAGTCTCTCCAATTCTTCATTTCACTTCCATCTCTTACTTTCCAAACCACCGTCTTCCCCACAAACTTCTTCATTCCCCCACCACCCTTTCCACTCACAGTCCACATACCTCCACTTGTCTCTGACTTAATCCTTACCTCCTGTTTGCAGGAAGTAGGCCTTGAGGAAACAGACCACCCACTCTCTCAGATGGGCAAAAGCTATCCAAACGTCCTAGACTCAAGGGACCCTGGGCTGGGACTGAGTGTGTTAGACAGACTCATCCAAGCTTGATTCCTGCCAGCTGCTCCTTCAATTTTGTGGACCTCACACCTCAAGTTCTTCCTTCCTTGTGTATCTGGACCTTCCTCCAATGGTTAATTAGAAAACTAAAACAGAATTCTACCTCTTCAACTAAATGCGGGGTGGGGAAAGGATATAACACTATTGCTTATCGGAACAATCTGGAGGTCTTTCTAGTCACTTCTTACAAGTCCAAAAGCATGACCTACACACACACACACACACACACACACACACACACACACGCACGCACGCACGCACGCACGCACGCACGCACGCACGCACGCACGCATGCACGCACACCACTCCATCCTATTACTGTGGACACCCTGATGCACTAGGGAGTAATGCTGTAAAGCTATGATAATTCCCTTTAACTCCATTTGGGCAACTCCATCATTAGTTACTGTCCCTCTGACAACACTGCAGTTTGGCCTACAGTTTATCCAGAAAGAAAATGAACATCGCTCCCAAGACCACTCCCCTACCACTCCCTCTGCTCTTCCCCCACCCCCCCATCCACCAATCATATGACTTAGAACATATATCAGCTATCTCTTCGGGAGTTGGAGAATATATTAAACAGTTAAGGTCTAATGAGGGGGGGCTTTTCTTATGAGCCTAGCCAGCCTATTACTGAGTGGAGATCCCTAGGCAAGGCCTAGATGGTAAGAGATTAAAGTTGCAATTTTAACACTTGTGCTCAAGGCACGCTCCCACAGAGAGATGGGCTGGGGTGGCATGGCTGTGGTCCCTGATCTAAGTGGCAGTGATTCTGAAGGGCAGACAATCTCAGCCATCGGTTTGCATCCCTTTCTTTGTTTGTTTATTTCTTTTTATTTATTGCAGTAAATACTGACCTCTACAGCCCAGTGGAGGGGACAGGTACAGAGGTAAGGCAAGGGGGCTCTGGGGCTCTGAGACTTGCGTAGAGGCATAGTACTGTCAGAAAGGGGTACTAGGGCAGTTCATAGCCTCATTTATATGAGCTGGGCTGCAGGCAGGAGATGGGTTGGAGCAGGGTTTCCAAACTGAAAAATCAGACCTAAGTGAGCTGCAGCAGCAACGAACTATTCACCCCTTGGGTCCTGAACGGTCTTAACACTACCAGCCTCCTCAAAGCAACATCCAACACCCGACTAGAGAAGATTCCTAGTTCATTTACTATGACTTGTGACTCCTGTCAACTCCATACTCAGGCATAGCCTCACTTTCCCAGACACCCAGGGCATCCAGTCTCTATAATCTCAGCCAGGGCCTGGGGAAGGGATTCTCTTACAGTTCAAGGGAGGGTTAGGCAACTTGTAGCATCCTGATATCCAAAAACAAAGTACCTGAGAAGGTACCAATGGCTTCCCTTTATGGTCTGCACCAGAGACAGGAGAGTATGTGGGTCGCTGAGGCATCACCGGATAGATGGATTAGAACCTGACTATAATAGTGGGAGCAGCAGGCCTTCCAGAACTGTGGTTCTGAAGACAGATCCTGTCCCAAGGTCCTGGAAAGCCCTCCTCCTCCCCTTCAGTCATCAGCAGAGTGCAGGCACTGATTCCTGTCTCTGGGAACCCAATTTCTCCCCCCTCCCCCATTTACCTTCCAAAGCAAAATCCTGACCCTCCTCTGAAGCCCTATACTCTGGGCCCTGGGTGTTATTCTCAGTGGCGCCTTCCCTGGGCATCCCCTGCCAGGGTACAGGCAGACTTGACCCCCTTGGCATCATGCTGCCACCTCCGCCAACTCCTTGCCCTGCACCTACACGGCGATCTCATCATCCAAACTGTCACCCAACTCCTGCCGCTGTAGGACATTGAGCAGGCGTGGCAGCTCCTCCTGGGACCATGAGTCACGCTCCTCGCTTTCGTCCGTGTTGGACTCATATTCTGAGGCGATGCCTGACTCTCGGAATTTGATGAGCTCCAGGCCACCCAGGAGTGGCTCACCATGCGCCATCGGCCGCGTATCCTCAGGTGGGAGGAAACGGAAGCACTCCAGTTTCACCAAGCAGTCACGCCTACCTAAAGGGCTGCCCGCTGGGTGGGCAAAGTCAGCCAAGCCGGCGCCCAGCAGCGGTGAGTGTAGGTCCTCTGGCTTAGGGGTGGTGGGTTCACAGAGCACAGGCAGGGCACCTGAACGGAAGGTGATCTCCAGCAAGCTGTCCTGGGAGCCCACTGCAGGGAGACAACGGACAAGGAGAGGCAATGTTAGGTAAGGTTTCAGATGTGAGCTCAATTCTTATTAACCCGTAGGTTGGAAAGGCCTGGTTCTGACCATTCCCGTCCCTGGAAGGGTCCTTGCTTGAACGGCCCTGTAGCATCCCCGAGAGGTTTCAAAGCTTAACTCAGCACTCCTTTCCTTCCACCCTTGCAGCATCAGGATGCACTTGGCTGCCGGGGAACAGCTTTCAAAGAGTTGGGAAGGCTACTGAATGCCCTGTTAGCGGATTTGTGATGGGGAAAAGGTACCAACCCATCCACATTCCAAATATGGAGTAACAGTCAAACCTTGTAAGAGAGGAATCTGGACAACCAGAGGGGCTTACCCACCGTGGCGCCCAGCTATACCCTTTACACACGCAGCCCTGCCTCTGACGACTGCTGAGAAATCTCCATGGGCTGGACTGGGTGATAGCCAGGAGGGGTAACTTTAGGGAACTAATGGTATAGTTAGAAAAACACTAGACTTGTGATGAAGCCCGAGTGTGAGTAGAGGCTTTACTCACTGTTTGCTAACTGTGTGACTCTGACCTACTCGTTAAACCTCTCTGAGTGTGTTTCCTCAGTTGTGCAACAGTCATGACAGCGTCTATTACTACAGAGAATAAATGATCTTCCAATTAAAAAACTCTATCACAATTATTTGTGTAATAGCTGATCAGTAGGTATTTGTCAACACACGTCAATACAGATTTCATACATGCCCAGAACCCACCCATAGGCAAGCCTATGATGAAGATCTGGAACGAGACTGCCTTTTGCTTCCCAGTTCAGCCTGGAGATGTTTAGCATACAGGTAGCAAAGCATCTTAGACCAGGGGCCACCCAGTCTAGTTACAGCCACTGTGACTCAGCCACCTTATCAATTAAATGGACATGCATTTTTTTGTGCAGCAGAGTAGGGAACTATGCCGGGCAGAGAATCAACTACTAAAGAGTTTGTAGAGCCCACAGAGCTCACAACACCATCCCATATGGGCTTGGTATATAGCCTTCATTAGGACATTCCTCTGAGGAAGAAATGGATTTTCGTGGAATATAAAGCAACCAAGTCCCCTATAAGGAGAGGGTGAGCAAATATGTAGCAATGTCTCCCAGGACCCTTCATGGTCAAGTCGGGGTAGTGGATAGAAGGCAGCCAGGATGTACTCTGGCCCTGTAGTTCTACAATTTATGAGATGTGCAGACTAATAACAATGCTGCCTGTGTTCTGTTGAAACATGAGGACACCATCAAGGGTCCAAAGCAAAGCATCCCTGAGTTCACGGAAACAACGAAGCTTGCACACAGGTACCCGGCCGGATGGGACCCCGGCTTACTGGCATTCTGTCCTGACAGCTTCAGCTCCAGCTCCTGCACTTGCTTGACCAGCAGAGAGATGTGCTGCAGCATGTCTTTGTTCTGCAGCAGGAGCTGGTGCACGCGCGCCTGGGCCTCCAGCCGTGCAGCAGCCTCGGCAGCCAACTGATCCTTCAGCAAGTGAACCTGCAGAGAGGAGGCAGGAAGACAGAGAAGGAGGGACAGAGAAAAGGGAGGGACATTACTACAAATGACAGTTGCCAATGGATGGCCAGGATCAGAAATGCCCCTCTCCATGTTCAATTTGAGATGAAGAAACCCTGCATGGAAAATTGGGCACCTAGAATTGTAATTTTGGAAAAGTGGCCAAGAGAAGATAGGCCACCAGCCCTGTGGGCCTCTCTATAGGCTTCAAGGGCCATGATGTGTCACTCAGGCACCACTCTGGGCCCCATATCACGTACAAAAGGTTGGAGAGACGTTCTTACTACCTGCAATGTCCATGTAGATTAAACTGAACTCCACTCCTGTTTTAAGACCTTTTAAAGTCCCAAAACAGCTCACTTTTCTAACTTCAACTTGCTTGCTTTGAGACAGTGTCTTGACATATAGTCCTAGTTGACCTAGAACTGGCTATATAGACTAGGTTGGCCTTGAACTTGCAGTCACTGCCTCCCCAGTGCTAGGATTACAGGCATGTGGCATCACAGCCTGCTTTACCCATATCTTTTAAAAAACAAACATAGTCAGGTATGGTGGGGTACATGCTGTAATCCTAATACTTGGGAAACAGAAGCAGGAGAATTTTGAGGCCAGTCTAGTCTATATAGTAACTTCCAGGCCAGGCAGGGCTACCTAGAAAGACCCTGCCTCAAAATCAATTAAAAAATAAAATGCAAAAGCTAATATCAACTGACTAGACCATCACACAACATGCCCCTGATCATAGCCCATAATCTTTCCTTATACTTTCCTGAACACCAGCGCAACAAGACACAGGAAGTAGAACTGCACTGCTGTTAGTGAGCTCGTTGTAATAAAACTTGGCTTCTCATACCTGGTTACCAGCTTTTCCATCTTTCTATTCTCTTCTTATTCTCAATGAATGCCCAAAGAATCCCTGATTCCTTCTAGGAAGGGGTTGAATGTTTGTTGAGTGACTAGCAGTAGTGCTCTTCTGACCACATAAAGCTGAGGTTGGTGTTCACAGTGAGCCCTTCATCTATCCATATGCTTCTTGTGGTACGGGGTCAGCCATGGCCTTTACGGCAGTGGCGCTTACATGCCCATTCCTGGTGCAGAACCCTTGAGTGCAGGTGAAACCAGTGGGGGGAGATGGGGCAATTATATCCAGGACTCTAGCTTCAAGGAAATAGAAGGCCAGTGTTTGCACATACATGGTTTCTTGTACTAGGAAGTGAATCGGGAGGATTCTAGAAGGCTTTTGAGAAAGGGAATGGATGAGTCTGGTCACTTGGAACCAAGTCAGCCTATAAGGAAGAAGGCTTTCTTGGACCCAAAACCTGGTGTTGACACAGAACCAGGGTGGGCGGGAGGTGGGGTGGGACAGAGCTAGGAGAAGCCCCCCCTTGTTCTTTCTCAGGGAAATGCACCCCAAGTCTGAAAAGCAGTATTCTCTAGAAATTCCCATTTTGCTGAGGCTGACCAAGGCACCTACAGGCCTCCACATCTGCCTTCTCGGGACACAGAAAATTGTGCTCTGGTACAGTGGCTGCTTCCTTCTCTGCCCAGCTCTCAAGGCCTGGCCCTGCAGTTGATTGACTCCGAACTAAGCAAGGGCAATAATGAGATTTGCCGCCACTTTCTATTAGGGGATCCTCAAGGTTGGGCTCATCCTTCCCCACGGAGAAGAGGCCTAATGAATCTAAAGAACATCCCCAAATAGGAATGCTCAGGGCAGATCAGGATGTTGGCCTTCTTTGCCGTTTCATATTCCCGGGAGGGATCTGAAGAGGGGTGAGAGCAGGAAAACAAGTGTAAGGAACACTATAGCCAAGGGTTCCCATGGAGGGTGGCTATGAAACCTGTGGCTTCCTGGGAAACAGGCATGGAGAGATTTCACCCAGGGGGGGTCCCCTCAATCCTACTGAATCTAAGAAACAGGGAAATGGCTGTGGGAGATTCCCACTTATAACCCCCACATGATGGGCAAGCTCAAAACTTGATCTGCCAGTACTGTTACTTATATGAAGTAAGAGTACCGGGGAAAGGACTCTGCCGCCCACATCATCCACTGATCAGATCATTTTCTGCTTGCTTTGGAAGCAAATAGAAATGTAAGAGAAATATGGAACACCGCTTTCCAGTGGCTAAGCAGAGAGAGTACAGAGTCCTACACACCTCTAATTAACATCTGTTATAGGCTCTCTACACACCTGCTACCCCCACAGGTACCAGCATCCCAACAGAATAGACCATTAGGAAGCAAGCGTGGGACTAGCAGCCAGGGTGCTGGAGTGTTTACTTACTCCTGAGACAACCAACTACAGTAAACCACAGTTTACTCTTCCCTGGGCCTCATCTGCCCCATCTGTCAATGGGGAGGGCTGTCTAGGGGCTGAGATGGTCGATTCTGCATTCAGAAAGACAGTTATAAACACTGGGGGCCACTTAAAAAAAGTCCTCAGATCCCATGGTGACATCTGAGAATTAGGAAGGAGAACAACAAAAAAAAGTTCCTTCTTGTAGAAGTTAGGGGAGTGTTGGAAGCTTCTCTGGCAGGTACCCAAGTTCCAAAGGTGGGGCACTCTCAACACCCGAGAGACGATTCTTGAATTCTTTGCTTCAGGTAAAACCCACTGACATTTAGTGCCATGAGCAAATACCCCAGGGTGTGAGCGCCTCTTGTCCCAGATTACGTAAGAATTTCCACTCTGCAAGTGCAGAGCTGTGTCATTTCAGATGTTTTTGAGCTCCACGAGCACAGAAACAACTTACTGCTGTCACTGCCCAAGCCAGCACTAATGAGCCTCCTGCTTCTGCAGCCACCCAAAGTGGCAATCAGGCATGCGGCTCAGACCTCAGCGCTGCAGAACGAAAACCAGGCCAAGTGAGGACAGCAAGGCTTAGAGTTCTTCAAACTCCGAAACCAAGCTTATATGGACTTGGAATGTTAAAATGAGCTTCACCCTTGGTTTGGGCTCTGGTTCTCAACTAGGACAGGAGTAGAAGGTACCACCCCGCCCTCGACACACACATCATGGACATTTATTTATCTTTAGCACACATTTCTTTCAGAGAATTGGGCATTTTCCACAAAACTGACCACAGTACTTTCTGAAAAGGTAACTGTGAAATGTCTCCTCTTCGGGCCCATGGCACTTTGAGTATGGCTACTTCATTGGACTAAGCTGGTGGCACAAACACAGCAATGTAGCACTAGAGTCACAGTTAGTGTTGGCATCTTCATCCCAACCCCAAAACCACACATATAACACCAACCCTGTCCCCTCCAGGTCTGTACCACTTCCCCGAATTCTGCCACTCACCCTCAGCCCACCCGACCACCTCAGACCATTGTCCCACTCACTCTCCGGCCTACTTGCCTGGACTCCAGCTCCTCCATCAGAAGCGGGGGCAGGGCCAGGCTGAAGTTAGGGAGGGGCAGGCACATGGAAATGGCAGTGGAGACAACCAGAGCAATTTGCCCCCCCCCTTCCCCATACCAGATGAAAGCAGAGGCAGGCAGCGCTGTCTCAGCATGCATATGCCAGGAACCTGGGCAGGGCTGGGGACTGGGAGAAGCCACAGGACCGATGCTACATGGAGGGCCAGGGTGGGGGTGCAGAGCGTTTTCAGCACTGTTTCTCTAACTACAACACACGATATCACAAAGCATAAAAAACAAATCACTTGTTCCTAAATAAGCAGAAGTGACAACAGGCAGAGGAGGTCTTTAAATAGCAACAATGAGCTTCACTATCATTTCCCCAAGAGCTAGGCTAGGGCTTGGCAAACTGAAAACATATCTGGCCCACTTAACTGTTGTCAGTCAGCCACAATCCTGGAGCCAGGCAGGCCCAGCATGCTGCTATGCAGGCACCAACTACATCCCAGGTACGATTCAAGGTGTGGCTGGAGTTCTTCATCCACACCCTTGAACTTCTGGTCCATGTAAAAGCGGAAGCTAATGCAGCCAGGAGAACCTCATGCTGGGCTGGGAGAGCCACAGAGGGACTGGGGTAATTCACTATTTCCTACTGCAGAATGACCTGGAAATACTTAGGAGTTGGTTAACACCATCTTTGTCCCCTATGTGTTTTAAGGCCAAGGAGAGCATGTTCAAGATCAGCACTGAAATAATTGAGGTGAGACTGGAAGAGATCTTGAGGTCTTAGAAAAAGTCACAACAACATCGAAGAGAACTAAGCACGGTTCTAAAGGCAACAGCCAAATCAGATTGGTGTACGGGAACAAATGCAGCGGGGGGCATGAAGAATGTGATAAGACTAACAGCACGCATTATCTGCAAGACATTGGGGCTTTACCCTTAGATTTTAAGCTGAGAAGTATTACAGGAGGGTTTGGGAGCTCAGAGAAAGGGAAATTATGTTCTCACCCAAAACACTAAGATGACAGTTTCAACTACTGAATTCTGGGAACTAATGGTAGTCCAATGAAAGACCTTGCTATGTGCTAGCAGTAGTCCCAGCAGAATAAGGGAAAGCTGACTTCCCCTGGGGAATTAAGCAGTCCTGCAGAAGAACAGGATGACCTGTCATCAACCCACTTGCACGTCTTACATAACTGATTGTACTCACAGATGGAGACAATGACAAAAAGTCCTTTGATCAAATCCTACAGTGTAAGAGAGCTTGAAGAGGCTGGTTTAAGACTGAACCCCCCTGTAGGACCAGGGGGCCAAGGGCCAGCTGAGAGGTACAGTTGTACCCTATGTGTCCTTGGCAGTAAAGATGAAGATAGAAGGAAAGTGGTCAGAGACCAACGAAGGGGAGCAGCAGGGACAGGTGGAGGACTATGCTCAGAAAGCCGTTGAATGACCTTAAGTCTAGTTTGATGGAAGGATCAGAAGTCTACCCCTCTGCTCAAAGTCATTACTGCCCGATGGTGGCCTTTCATCATAGTATTGCTTGAGCTGAGAGCCCAGCAGCTCACTGCCAGCTACATCTAATAGATTCTGAGTAAATGAGAAGCTTGGACTGACCAACGTGGTGAAATGCCTAGAACCTAGAGAGAGGCTCGTGAAATGAATCTAGAGCATGGCATCATTCCCTTTCCTAAGACCCACTGTCTCCTAGGAGAGAGGCAATTAGACCAGGGCAGGGCATGGACGTTTTGCTAACACAGATACTTGCTATGCCAGAAAACCACTGTTAGGTCTGGTCCTGACTGAGGCAGACCTGTGGTAAGTTGCAATCTGACTGCAGGCTGGGTGCTTCCCTCCACTGCCACAACACTGTGTACAGATTCGACACTTGAACTGGTTTTCTCTTTAGTACTAATCTGAGACTTCAAATTCAGGTGCCTTCTGTTAATAAAACATCATGAATATGCATCAGACCTACTCTTGGATAAATAATAATTACTTGGGAATTGATATGCTGAGAGAGAATTGTTTGGAGAATGGATCTGTATTCAACGGGAAACTTGGGGGAAATGTTGAGCCTGGCAATGGGCCGGGGCTGAAATGCTCAGGCTTTGTGTTCCTGTCATCCCCCACATGGAGGAGGAGGAGAGCCTCAGACTGCCATGCTGTCATTAGACAGAGATGGATTCTTTTATTTGACAAAGAATGATTTTTTTCCCCTTCCAAATATAAGAAGCATTACTGACATCCCCTTTTCTCTGTCGCCATTTTGGAAACACCTGCAAATCCTCCCAGCAGCATGGCATATCCTTTGGTTTCAGTCAGAGCTCCCACTCCCAAATCACCTCCAAGGTTCTATCTACTACCTCGGAGCATCGTCCCGCTGACTCCAATGTCTTGAAAATGTGGAGCTTAAGTGACCCATGAGGCTGGTGCCTCAGGGACCTTCAGTGAAGGCTGGATGACAAGATGGCTCTTTCAGGCCAAGCCTTAGCAGACTTTACTAAAGCCTGGATGCAGGATGCTTCCTGAAGTTGTACTGAGGCAAGGATCACTCTGCCAGGGGGAGTCACTTCAACAAGGAGGCACGGGGAGAGGAAGCAGAACACACAGAAAGATCAGTAAGTCCTCCCTGGAGGAGTCTGCTCCCTGTACCGAACATGGAAAATCTCAGCACCCACTCAAGCCTAGCCGATTCAGAAGGGTAGGGCACACAGTAGCCTTCACAGTCCACTCTCCAACTGCCCCATCCCATCCTCCTGACTACCTTCATATACCCACAGAAGGCCCGATCCTGCCTGGCCCTGACTTTACACTTCAGCCTTCATAAGGAACAGATGCATGTGTCTTCACCATTCCCCGACTTGCCCATCATCAAGAGAAGGCTCACCCTACAGAACTCCAAGTGAGTATGAATGACAGCACCCTCCAGTGGCGATCAAACAGTAGGGTTTCCTGCTGAAAGCAGCAAGGGCAACCAGCTCAGTCCTCTCCCACCAAGCAGCAACAGTCCAACCCGACTTCAGGGCGCAAACTCCATCTGGATGCTAAGAGGTAGCCACCTCTCAAATGGCTCAGATCATCTACCCAAATTCCTCCAGGTTTGCTGCTTTTATAGTGAATTCCCAATCAAATACTGTCTGGAATAAGTAGGTCACAAATGGAGAATTGAGTACCTGTTATGGCCAAGAGTGTTTGGGATGCCAGAGCAGCAGTCTGTGGAAGGATGCTAGGTACAAATTTATACTTGGAGCTGTTTTAAGAGTTGTCACACCTGTCCTAACTCCAGGCATCCTTTCCCACCCCGAACACAAGGAAACAAGGTAGGAAAGGGAGGGTGGGACTGTGTACATCTTTTTCCTTGGTAAGTTCAAGTCACTATCCAACAACGTTCAGCCAAGCCAGCCAAGCCTAACTCAGAGCGAGGGATACAGGGGGGAACCAATGTGTTTTTCCATTTTAACCATAGCCCCCATCTGTCCCCTTCCCCCCTCACCTCCTAGAACCCCAACAAGCAATCATCCAACAGCATGAGCGGTTCTTTAGAGCTCACTAGGTTTTAACCCTGCCCTGAGCCCCTTGCTAGGGAAGGTGCATCAAGCCCATGAGAGTGGAGCCTGTGAAGAAGGGAGGAGGCTGAGGAGAACCTGGGCCACAGCCACTTGCGTCTGCTGCTGCTGCTGTTGGAGGAGCTGCTGGAGGAGCTGCATCTGGTGGTGAGTAGACAGCGGGGTCCCTGTGCCCAAGCCGGGGGGCTTCGAGGAAGAGGAAGGCAGCAGCATACGAGGTGAGGCTGTCAGCATGGGCTCCTGAGGATGGGGTGACACCTGAGGAGAGAAGACAGGACATGGCTCATAGGCAGAAGCCACCTCTTACTGTCATATTCACGACGGGTACATGGGCAGAGTGAAACTCATGTACCGGAGATGCTGCATCTTCAGTGACAGCAATAGCTCCAGGGAGGAAAGGCTGGCACATCTGGGCTTGGACCACAGGGCCGGAAAATTCTATCTCCATCCCTTGGGAACATCGTTGTCAAGAGGGTGGGAGACAGTCAGCTGATCAAATACTGTTTTTTTAAACTTCCCATTTCCCATTATATACCTTTCTGATGAATCGGGGTTCTATCTTTAGAATCTATGCTTGTTTACACGGCTACCTATCACGTCACTATGACAACAAGAAGGGGATGGCTTCAGTTCTTCCCTGCACTGTCCTTCACTCCCTCCTCTGGGACCAGGCTTCCACACTCTCCCATCGCTTCTCACAGTGAAGGAAGAACATGTGGGCATCGTAAACACGTGATCCAGAGGGGCCTGTGTTAGTTAGGTGACGGCAGCCGCTGCCTCTTTCTCCTGACGGGATGCTTTCACTCAGATGGCTCCTATAAGTCAGAGTTCAATGCCAGGGAGGTAGGTTTTGTTTCTGGTGGCTCTGCTGACCGTCAGACATGCAGGAAGAAGGCACTCAGGGACGGAGGCCTATCGCCCCTTGTAGAGAAGTAAAGCAGCGGCAGAGGAAACAGGAGGCGCTGCCCACCAAACTACACAGGTGTTTCCTCATGAACTGGCCTAATTCGAGACGGAGGATGGAAACTGCCAGTGAGCTTCCTGGGAAACCAAGGGGCAGGAACTTGGCTTTCGGTTTTTGTTTTTCTTAGTTTAGTTGTCTTCGTGTTTGAATTTAGTCTTGGGGTTCTTGGGGCTTGTTTCTTTCCTGGATCACATTAGAAGTTCCTCTATGCCTTAGTCATCCCACCTGCGGAATGCCAGGCTGGGGGTGATGGGGCCCGCCTTAACGGGGCCTCAGTTCCCACCATGCAGTGAGCCTGTTACCAGACTCAACAGAGCTGTTATCCAGGAGTTTTAAAGGCACACAACCACTAGCCAAGGAGACTGGCTTCTAAGTCATGTGATCACCTATATCACGTGGGTCTGCTGGATGAGCCCTGCACAAATACCACAAGATGCCACTGTGCAGGGAGAAAGGGCTAGAACATCGATGCGATCCCCAGGCGGGCGGCACACTTCAGAAATGCGCTCCACAACACCCTCATGTGGGTGCTGAATCTGCAGAAGTCAGACCCCTCTGAGGGGCAACAGAGTACATTCTAGCGCTGTCACTGGGTAACAGGGCACCCCACACTCTGAAGCTGCAGCCGTGTGAGCCATGAGGCACCTGACGGCCTAAGGCTACAGCTGTGCCACAGCTTGCTCTCAGAGGCACCAGGACCACACCTGAAGATCACCTACCGTAGAGTCTATGTGGGAGCCTCCTTCCTTCCCTACAGCATCCAGGTCTGTCACCCCTCGGCTAAAGTCGAGAACATCATTCCCAGGGAGTGGGACCTCCACAGCATCGATGTCAGTCTCCTCTGCAGTGGCGGTGGAGGCTCTCTCAGCTCCCGCGAGCTGGCGGCCTGCAGGGACAACAGGGCAGGGAACCATGACATAAGGAACACTATATCCACTTTATTTCGTCAGTTCTCCCTTAGTCAAGCAGGCATGCCATGGGCTTCCTCCGACATTTCACACATCCTTTTGTTTAAGTACACAAATACACCTTTTCAACCAGATAGGATACATCTACTCTAATATCATTGTAAAGTTCAGAAACAAACGTCCATTTCCTCAAGCTGGATGCAACAGCTCCACAGCCTGGTAATTTCTACCAGCAAGACAGAGACTCTGGAAGAAAGGGGATTGTCATCTCTAAATTCATCGCAGCTCAGGGCTCAGTTTCCCAGCCTGGTACTTAGTCTCATAATCCCACAGAGAATATTTTCTTACTCTATAATTGGACTAGGTTTCTCAGTATGTTTTGTTTTGGTGTTTTGAGAAGGGGGCTTCACTCAGTAGCCCAGGATAGCCCAAAAGTCACTCTCTAGCTGAGGCCAGCCCTACACCTATGCCTATCTTCCTGTCTCTGCCTTCTGAGTGCTGGGATTTCAGGGCATGGGACACCATGCTCCTTTAGGCTCACCACTATTGTCTTCAAATACAATTTCTTAATAGTTTCCAGAGACCGAGCAGCAGTTGGAAAATAGAGCAGGGTGGTGACAGAAGTACTGATCCCTAATGTTGGGGCTAGCCCAGACAACCAGGTTGCCAGGCATGTATCTGCCTTGCAGAACCAGTGGCTGTAAGTCCCTCCTATGTAGACACACTTGGTCACATAGGGGAGCAAGCCACATATTTAGAAGTCAACAATGTGCTAGGTTTTCCTCCTCGCTGATCCATGAGCTGGGGAGATGGTTCTGCTGAGGGGCATAAAGGCGGTTAATGGGAAGGGTGGGCCCCACAGCAGCCTGCTGGGCCACAGTTCTGATCCTTGGGGAGCTAGCAGACGGGGAGTCCAGGACTACGCAGACCCAGCATATGGATGGAGGGATCAAAAAGGTTCTGCCTGAAGACAGAAATTTGCCACAAGCACAAGTCAGAAAAGAAACCAGGGACCACATCCAGGAGAAACCTCACCACTTGAGAGGGAGGCAGGAGCAAGGTCTTCAGGGGATGCTGAAAAGCAGGTAGCAGAGACGGGATGGAAGGGTGACAACACTAAGAAGCGGGCCAGCCAGCCAGAAACAGATGCAAAGGTGGTTCTCAGGGGGAAGGTGGAAGACGGTGGAAAGTGAAAGGATAAAGTCACACGATTGCAGGGTTTCTAACCCAGAGCTAGAATGCAGGACATAGGCCTCTGGCTACCAACGTACATACTCAAGGGTTTTTTTTTTCTTTTAAGAAAAAATCTTAATCTCAGCACTTGGGATCTCTGAGAGTTCGAGGCCAGCCTGGTTTACAGAGCCAGTTCCAGGACAGCCTCCAAAACAATACAGAGAGCCTTTCTGGCGATGATGACCTCCCTACGAGAACATGCCTCTCTCAAAGGATCTCCTTCATCCCTCTCCAGAAGAGGAGAAGAGGAAACACAAGAAAAAGCGCCTGGTGCAGAGCCCCAGTTCCCACTTTATGGATGTGAAGTGCCCAGGATGCTATAAAATCGCCATGGTCTTTAGCCATGCACAAACACTAGTCCTGTGTGGTGGCTGCTCCACTGTCCTCTGTCAGCCTACGGGCGGAAAAGCAAGGCCGGCAGAAGGATGCTCCTTCAGGAGGAAGCAGTGCTGAAAAGGACCTGACTCAAGATGAGTGGGAACCATCCCAATCAACACATTTTGGATAACAATAAATACATAAATAAATAAATAATAAAAATTCAGAAAACCCTTATCTCAAAAAAACAAAAAAAGATTTATTTATTATGTATAGTCTTCTGTTTGCATGTATGCTGCACACCTAAGAGGGAACCAGACCTCATTACAGATGGGCGTGAGTCACCAAGCGGTTGCTGGGAATTGAACTCTGGAAGAGTAGCCAGTGCTCTTAACCTCTGAGCCATCTCTCCAGCCTCATACTCAAGGTTTTTGCTCAGAGTGGACTTTAGGTATTCTTGCCAAATACACATAGGATTTAGGAATGTATACATGTATATAGTTTTGGCTTTTTGAAACTGGTCTTAAACTTTTTGGCAATCTTTCTGTGTCAGCCTCCTGAATGCTAGGATTACACATGTGTGTCACTGTGCCCAGTTTTTTTACTTACTTACTTTTATTGCATTTATTCATTTGTGTGTATGTGTGTGGCTGAGTGTGTGCCACGGCACACCTGTGTAGGTTAGAAGACAACTTACACGAATGTTTCCTGGAATGTGGGTTCCAGGGATCAAACTCAGTTTGTCTGTCTTGGCGGCAAGCACCTTTACCTGCTGAGCTCTTTGGTTGGCCCCCAGCAGGTTTTATTTGGAATAAGTCCTTCGGAAGGCTTCTCAGTCTGTGAATATGCTGGACCGGCATGGGAGAAGGCATACCTCCAAAGAAACAGGATCTCTCCCGGGAAACAGGCAATGAAGATTTGGGCAGTGGCCCCACCTTGCTCTGAGCCTTGGGGATGGCCCAGGGCAGCTGGTGCCAAAAGAGACAAAAGATATACCTCCCCCATAGTACAGGGAACAGGAGAAGAATGAGAGAAGAAAGACAGGCGCGGAACAGGGAAGGAGGGAGGAGGCCCAGGGAGGGGTGTACGTGAATAACAACACTAAAACGCGCCGCTGAGTCCCCGGAGAGAAAGCTCTGAGATCAGAGGAGGCAGGACAGCTTCCAGCACTTGCCCTTTCCAATTTCCAAGTGCAAATACGTTTCCTCTGGACAATAAAGGGCCTGCCATCCCATCACAGGCAGGCAGGGCTCTCCTGGAAAGATAAACAGTGCCTTCAGTGAAAAGTTCCCGGGCACAGGAGCCAGATCCCCACAGGAAACCATCCGTTTTCCTCTGGACCTTCATAGGAAAACCCTTCTCCGGAGAGCAGATGCGAAAAGAAAAAACAGGTTGTCAGCAGTTTACACACACCAAGAAGGTGAGTGGGAGGTAAGTGACCAGGAGAAGACAGAGAACAGCTTTCCTGAAGAAGAAAGGGTTCCAACCCCGGATCCAAATGGCACCTACTGCTGACTCTCAGGTACACTCATCCTCATGGCCACAGGAAAGCCTGATCAATCACTCAGCTTGTACCTGTTGTGACCTTCAGAGCACCACCCCTCCCATTCTCTCATGCAAATGCTCCATATGCAGATCTCTAGCCACACTGATTACTACACACCACACTCTGGGTTCACACCCGTGCATTCTCTCAGGGTCTCAGGGGAGAACTGGCATCCAACATGCGCTCTGTCGGAGATCACTGAGTGTGCAAGCGTTGGTTAAGGATGAAAGTCCGATTGCCCTGTGTAGCTAGCCTGTTGCTCTAGTGACCTCTCAGCATCATCTCCTCATTTCCACAACAGCCAATAGTCTGTGCTAACGGGCCAGCCACCACAGAACCCAGACATCCACCTACATCATTCTAGAGGCAGCTTTGGAGTTAACTTTTTAAATTGCAATGCATATTTAAACTGTCAAGTGGATGGCTGTCTGTGGGCAGACTCATCTGATCAGACGGAGGTTCAAAGGGAAGAAAGCCTAATCTCCCATGAAGAAGAGGGAATTCCACCAGCAGATGGCCTTCAGACTTGAATTCACCCTTCCCCAGGTCTCCAACTGCAAATTATTGATTTACCAGGCTTCTACTCATGTATAACAATTATTTAAAATGAACCACCCATTAAACACAGACACAGAGACAGGAAGGAGGAAAGAGATTTCTATATAGCTATTCCCAGTTATTTTTTGTTGCTTGGGAGTAAAGACTCCTAAGTGAAATTGGGGTGGCCTTCTTGATGATGCAGCTTCCTTTAAGTCACCCATGGTCCTGTGAGGAACCCCAATAAACTACTGGTCTACAAGCCAGACTTGGGTATAATCATTCTTTGTTGTCAGGACTCTATGTGGACTGAATAAACATTTTTCTTGTCTGTGCAGGAAAAGTCACACAGCACACACACACACACACACACACACACACACAGTAATATAAACACACAAATGATGTGTCATGTATAACCCCTCCCCATCACATTACCCCAAGGCTACTAGCAGGTGCCTCCCTCCTTCTCCGCCAGAGATGTCAGTATGAAAGAGTGTACCAACTCAAGCTTGACTCATTTTGAAAAGATACAGTTAATGTATCTTTGACATCTTTTTTGTTTGTTTGTTTTTACGACACAGGGTTTCTCTGTATTGTTTTTGAGGCTATCGGTCCAGCCTGGCCTCGAACTCACAGAGATCTGCCTGCCTCTGCCTCCCGAGTGCTGGGATTAAAGGCGTGTGCCACCACCGCCCGGTGTATCTTTGACATCTTAAACCTTGAAGAAAGTATGCTTGGCGTATTAGTTTGCTTCCTCTTGCTGTGACAAACATTATGACCAAAAGTGATTTGGGGAGGACAGAGTTGGTTTGGCTTATACATGTCAATCACATCCATCACTGAGGGAAGGTGAGGCAGGAGATCAAACAGAAGCTGAGATGGGATCCAGAGAGGGATGCTACTGACTGGTTTGCTCAGCCTGCTTTCTTATGTAACCAAAGACCACCTGCCCAGGGGCGGCACTGTCACAGTGGGCTGGGCCTTCCCACCTCAATCACTAATCATGAAAAGGCCTCACAGGACAATCTGGCATGGGGAATTCCTCAACGGAAGTTGCCTCTTCCCAGGTGACTCCAATTTACGTCAAGATGACTGAAAACTTAACCAGCACACTGGGTCTGACACTACCTGTGGAAGGCCAATTACATATTGTGCTTCTTTAAAGCATATGGAGAATGTCAAGCAGATGACATGTTGTGTATATTAATGTGAATTAAGAAAATTGTCTCTGGCGGGGCAGTGGTGGTGCACAGTTTTAATCCCAGCACTCGGGAGGCAGAGGCAGGTGGATCTCTGTCAATTCCAGACCAGCCTGGTCGACAAGAGCTAGTTCCAGGACAGCCTCCAAAGCCACAGAGAAACCCTGTTTCCGAAGGGGGAAAAAAAAGGAAAATTGTCTCTAAGAGATAACAGAACATGCCAGGTGTGTTGGTGCATATCTCTAACCCTAGCACTCAGGAGACAGAAGCAAGTGGATCTCTATGAGTTTGAAGCCAGCCTGGTCTACATAGCAAGTTCTAGACCAGACAGGGAGGGCTACATACAGAGACCTGTCTTAATACAGACTTTTAAAGGTGACAGAACAGAGAGGTAGTGGTGCCTAGCACGGCTGGAGGGTGGGCGCTGACTTTTATTTTACAGCCAGAAGAGAGTGAATATGCTGGGCTTTTCCGTAGCCACCGTCTCTATCACTGTCCTCCCCGCAATACACCGTTTAGCCTTCTGAGCTCACTCTCTGTGTTTACCCCATTTTATTAATTCTCCCAGCCCACATGTCATCATTCCTCATCAAAGAGGTGGCCTAAAAGTCACTCCTGTTGGAATCTCTTCTCAATCTCCATGCTCATCTCAGCAGAGAGTAAGAATTTTATGGATGATAGTTGACAGTGACTAATACAGATGCTGTCCTTAGCCGCGCTTATTGATTGCCAGTTTATCCAACAAGTATTTATTGTGCTAGGAGGTCCCTGTGCTCGCAAGGCTCACTGCCCATTATAGATAAGGGTATTCTCTGCCTGGTACAGAATGTTAGTGTCAATGGCATCACCCAGGAGTGGTGAGAACACACGAACACAGAAAAAACCAATGCATTTGATTTTCTGAAGGGGGAAGGGAAGAGAATGGGAGAGTAGGAGCTAGAAAGCAGGCCGAGGAAGAGAAAAAGTGCAGGACGAGGAGGAAGTTTGCATGAAGGGGACATTGGGTCCCCTGGGCAGAGGACACTGCATCAACAATGGCTGGAAGGTACAAGAACTACCTAGCGCCGGAAAGGAAGAAGTTTGGGGCACATGGGGGAGGGGGAAATGAGACTAAAAGAAAAGACTATGAAATGATCTTACTGGGAACTCCATGGATCCCCAGAGTCTGCTCCTCAGCATGGCAGGGAATGATATCAGCTCACCCAGCAGATGGCTGCAGGTGGAAGGACAGAGCTATTCCTTTTTTAAAAATATAATTTGTTTTTATTTTATGTGCATTGGTGTTTTGCCTGCATGTCTGTGTGAGGATTCTAGATCCCCCTGGAGCTGAAGTTACAGACAGTTGTAAGCTGCCATGTGGGTGCTGGGAATTGCACCTGGGTCCTCTGGAAGAGCAGCCAGTGCTCTTAACTACTGAGCCATCTCTCCAGCCACAGCACTATTCTTATTGCAGGAAAATAAGACCTATTTCTTAGTGTTGCCTGTAAGAAAGGGCATGGCAGTTCTCATCAATGGGTCACCCTGGGCCATCCAGGCCTCCATGGTCAGTGGCTGAGGACAGATCCGATTAGCTCCTTGGATATTACAGCAACCTCCTCAGACAGGACTTCCATGACGACAATGGTCTTCAAATTCGCAGCCTCTGGGCACCATCCTGTATATAGTCCCTTCCACTCTAGGACTAAGTGGCTTCACCAGAAACAGCGCCCTCTACTTTCTGGCTAGAATGTCTCTGTTCATGTGTATACCAGCTGCCAGTGTGAGCATGGGCTTGAACTCTTGTGATTTTGGCTGTCACTCTCTTCTAGGAAGGTAGCAGGGCACTGGCAAAGAAGTGTTAATAGAGGCTGGGGATATGTCTCAGTCTGTACAGTGCTTACAAGACCAGTTTGGTC